ATTACTTCTTGTTTCAAACTCGAGGAAACGTGGGAAAGCTTGTTATCATAACATGATTGGAACCACGGTTTACTCGTGTGTATACAAGGGGGAAAACTAGGAATACTCGTTGTCTATACACCGGGCGAAAACTAGGAATGCTCTGTCTATACACGGGCAAAACCAGTGAAGTTCTTCTCTCGTACTTGGCGCCTCTGGTGGCTACATTACCCAGGGACGCTTCACGTGTTTCTTTGCCGGCAGGACGAGCTGATTAGCACCGTAACGACGCGCGCTGGGAGCATGGCATGAGGCGCTGCGTGCATGGCGTTCAATGATCACGGCGCACGCGCCGAGGTTTCGCCACTCGCCGAGTTCGCAATCAGCTGCGCAGATGTCGAGATGAGGTGCCGGCCGCGGTCGACGGCGCGTCCGTTCTGACGGCGAGGTCGAGGCGAGGTCGCGGTGCGAGGTCGCGGCGAGGTCGCGCATAAAATATTTGTAGCCGTATTTGTATTTATAATTTCAGTTGTTGTTATTTTCTTTTCTCATCTCTTTCTTACTTTACCTTCAAAGATTACTTTAAGTTTTAGCTGTCTTTCGGGAGCCGCCTGAATCAAGGGCTCTCCCGAGCGGTCACCGGTTTAAATTATCGCGTTTGCAGCATTACTACACTGTGTATCAAAAAGGCTTTAGCATGGCGTGCAAAGCACGCTCGCTGTCTCTGTAGTCCTTAGCGAAGCTTCTACAGGGATGCTGGTTGCCATGGTTATCAGCCTCGGAGCTCCGACATGAGGCAAGCAGCTGGAAGTGGCGAAACGTATGCGAAGAATCAAAGGACGCACCGGACTGCAGCGCTGAGGGCTGTGAAGGACACCGCAGCTAGCTGAAACTAAGCTGAGATGGCAAGTAAGAAGTAGTGCGGGAGGAGGGAAAGGGGGCAGCTGGGAGAAAATATGGTAAAGTGTTTTGGTGATGGTGGGATTTGAATCCGAAAGCGAATGAGCAGTAGCCCTTAGAATTAACCTGACCACGTAAGATGCGTCAGCTACAACCTCCTTTGTATTGAGTCCTTCTTTGCAAATTCATCGTACAACTGTCTAACCGTATAGCGTATCTAGGGTATACTTGCCCTCTGATTCTGTCTTCCTCGAAAATTATTTTGCAGGCAGTAGCAGTTGCTGAGCCGGGCAATCAGTGAAAAGGATGCGAACATTGTCTCTTAGCAGACTGGCTTCACCCAACCCAAATATCCAGAGCTATCGAGGACATCAAGCGACTCAGCGCAAAGAGAGATGATCTTAAAGAAAAAAGTTAAAGGAATGAGGTTGAGGGGTGCACGAGATGAGGTAAAGGGGGAAGAGCGATGAGAGGAGGCAAAGGGGGAAAGGGAAAGATGTAATGGAGCAGAGAGGGAGAAAATAGTGAGCAGGAAGACTATTGTGAGAGACAATGGCGGACAGAGCTCGAAGGTAAAAAGAGAGAGTTGAGAGTGTGCGAGAGGGGAGGCGGGACGGGAACTGTGACGCATGCTGCTGAGAGATCGAGGAGAGGGGCGAGGAGAGAGCAGAGAGATGAGGAGATGAAGAGGACGAGAAGAATTCTTGAGCGAGCATGAGAAAGAGAGAGAGAGAGGCGAGATGAGAAGAAAGAGGGAGAGGAGAGAGCGCGCATGGAAAGCAATGAGGTAAGCGAGAAAATGTGAGTGAGACACAAGACAGATGTTCATTCATTGTTTGCTAGCAATACGTTTAACGCTTACTGTAACTCAACTCTGCTTTGTCATTTCCGTTCATTCCTGTCATTGTTGTCATTGTCATTGTTGTCGTTGTCATTGCAGTCGGAACGAGGCATGCGGCTCATGAGCGAGTTCAAGGAACACGAGAAGCAGACGCTGGCGACCCCTAGTGGACCGGCGGGCGAGGGCAAGACTCCCGACGGGGTGAGATTTCGTTTGGTCGCGTTTGGTTTTCGTTTCGAACACGGCGTTGTCGGCTAACGTACTCAGTGTTGCCTTTTCCTTTACGTACACAGAGCGGACTTGATCGTGCACTTGATCCTGCACTTGATCCTGCACTTAATCCTGCACTTGATCCTGCTCTCTGTACCATGCACCGACGAAGCGATGTCGCTGATTGCTGCAGCTAGTGCAGCGATATATGTGTAGGACTACTCAGGCAGATACTAACCTTCATAGCCTTTGCACGACCTTTCTCTCCCTCATCCTTCTCATGTGCTGTCTGTCTCTTGCCATGCAGGTTTTCGGTCATAAACCTCTGTTTCGATATTTATTCTTATTCATCTATCGTTTATTTCTCTATGGTTTATACGTATTGGATTTCTATTTAACACAAGTGTAAACTCACAAGTCTTATAGCATGAGAAAGTCCAACATCTGTGTTTGTATATGTATATATATCAAGAGCTAATAATACCTCTTATTATACCTGGTATTATTAGCTCTTGATATATATATATATACATATATATACACACAGTGATTTAGCATGCATCCTTATTCTGTTAATTAATTATTTTGTCATCTGTTTGTCATCTTGTTGTTTTTTCTGTTTATTTTCACCTGACTGCTCTTGCATGATGCATGCTGCGCTCCCCCGCGCTACTAGAGCTTTCACGTGTTGAGCATGGACAGTCTACTGTCCATCTTCACCAAGGACAGCGACGTCCATCTCGACTGCGCTCTCTCTCACCTCGACACGGTCATGTACCTCCTCGCCATGGTAACGACCTTTCCCCTCCGACCTCCGCCGACCGCAAACGCGGGGCCGTTCGTCGGCGTCTCGCCTTTTTTCGAAAGCCGGTCGACGTTCACTGTCCCGCCAGGTGGCGCCGTCCAACGCTCACGTCGAACTAACTGACGTTTGGCGACGAGCGCCCCCTGGTGGCTCGGTGTGACGCACGTTTTTTTTTTATTCTTATGAATATTGATGTACATTGATCATATTATTATAATGTTATTGATATATTTATAATATATATTGATATTATTCCTATAATATGTAAGTTTACCGGCGTGTGGATGTGTAAGTATGCGAGTGTACGGATGGGCACTTCTCTAATGCTGGCCCAGCGCATCGATCGAACGCACGTTTATCTTTGGCGGAACCTTAATTATTCATGAGCGCTAATACGTTTCTCGCTGCGTTCCCTCTCACCGCTCTTGTAACTCCTATCTATTACTGTCTAGGTTGTCGGCCCTCGCATGTTTGCCGTCACGCGTAATCTCCTCTACTATTATCATTGTTAATCATATTTTCCTTCTATCCTTATTATTTATTCACGGTGGTAGAGTAGAGGCTCTTCCTAACCCGCCATTTCTAATATCTGTTGTTGTTAATCGTGTATTAAACCCCCGTTATTTATTCGTCGCGGTGCGTCGCGTGTCGTAACGCGGCGTGTTGTCTCTCTCTCGATGCAGGAGGAGGAAGAAGGAATCTGGGCATGACGACAGCGTCAGCTGTGTATCTGTGTCTGGCTCAGGTATATCTACATGTAGATACGTGCGGCGTGCGCCGCATCCGTGTGCACGTGTGTGTTCGTGTGCAGCCGCGATCACTCAGGAATCACGCAAATGCAACTGCAATGCGGTGCCGAACAAGACGGCGTCAGTCTAGCGCAGGTTCGCGCGGGGCCCGTAGCTGTTGGAATCTGTGCGTAGACTGACACTGGCGTGGTCGGTGAGACGCAGAAGCCGCATGGTGCTCTGTGTGTTCCTGAAAGTGATCAGCGCCCGTCTATAGACTGACACGCTTCCGCTGTGTAAAATGGCAGCAGGCTGCGTCCTGATTGGCTCAAGATTGAAAATGGTAGTATACTGCACCCTGATTGGCTAAAGATTGAAAAATGGCAGTAGACTGTAGACTGGTAGATTGTGCATCATGATCACCTGATCATATCAAGAAAATTTGTAGCGTTTGGATACTCGAGTTTGTTCCATAGTTGCCAGCTCACTAATTCAGCGAAGCTAATATTCAGACATGTGCGCCCTCTAGTACAACAAGAGAGCCTCATTGGAGGGCATGCAGCCAATCGGGAGCCAATCTGTTGCCTTCTTACGCGACGGAAGCAGTAGAAGCTGTGTGTGTCGTACGTCGTTTATTCACCGCTTGTGTGTTGTTTATGCATGTTGTTGGTCCAGGAGCCACACAGTCCAGTGCTGATCTCTACCGACGGACACACGTGGACGGTGGTCACCACGGCCATACGCGACGACGGTCACGACGACGAACTTGACCACGAAAACTAGCCGCGCTTTTCGTTGCCGTTGTCTTTTCTTCTTTTTTTTACATAAAATATCAAGAGCTAATATATATATAACACATGTATTGTTAGCTCTTGAAAATATGCATATCGATTAAAGTGGCTCGTATATATATGTGATATATTTTTAATATATTTTTTTACGTTTTTATGTCGTTGTGATGTAAGCAGATGTCTTTATCTGAAGTGTTGTCAGATGCAAGGAGATGATGAGTGTGAGATATAAGTAGTGATTTAATTCAGTTGTGATAGCGTTAGTGAACTAGCGAGCTTATCTTTGAAACCACAAATCGATATTGGAAAAATTGCGTACTGTCAAGAGCTAATACTATAATACGTGTTTTAATGTATTATTATAGCTCTTGATACTGTCAAATCGCTCGTACAATTTCGATGCGCTTGTCGTTGTAACTGCATTAAAAACATTCGTTGTCGTGTGTGTCGGTCGTGCAATTCCGTCGTTGTTTTGTTTCTCAATGTAACGAGGCGACAAGCAGTCCCTCGTACGTACGGTCTCCGCTATACGTCTAGTCATTATGTCGCATCGTCGTCATCCGCATTGTCCGTGCGCAAGGGAGGCTGCGCGGTTACCATGGTTACGCGCACACTCTGAGTTTCCTCATCTTCTTTCAGGGGCATGTCTGCTGACGGTCATGCGTCGTGGCGGTCACCCTCAGACCGCGTCGCTCTGTCGATCCGCTCTTCCATCCGTCGATCGTGGTGTCGGGCTTGACCTTCTCTCGCTGTGGTGGTTGCACCTCTACCGGAGATAATAACAGACGCGGTGGCGGGCGCTAACACGGATGCTCTTCTGTCCGTCGAGACGGCGAGAGGTTCCGGAAGATCGTCGGCTCGCGTCCGCCATCTTGCGCGACGGAAAGCGTGGCGATCTTCTCGCTCTCGAGGCGGAACTAACAATGCACCGCCCTCTGTGGGCGACGCGGGGAACCACTTTGCACTTCGCGTCGGAACTAACACGGTGTGGGTGCGGTCGGTGACAGGGTCTTTGTATACTGGTGGGTGGGGATGGTTTCGTGGCTGGCACTGTGCTGTCTGCTACTGCACACGCTTACAATCAGAGCTGCATTCCTAGCGTAATTATCGTCGTCATCATCGATCAATCGTCATCATCGTTATTATTATAATTATTATTAATATTATTATCAGTTATTATTATTTCCGGCGCGCGTTTGATCGTCTCCTGCCTCACCTCCGGCCTAGCTGTGACGCTATCAGTTCAGCATTGTATTTCAGTTTCGGGCATTTTTCGGGAGCATTGCGCATTGCGCATGGTAATTTGACCTTTATTAATCCTGCGTAATGTGTAAGGGGCTGGACGTTTGCTATAGCGGTGGATGTCTACCATGCTAGACCGCAGTACTGCGCTGTGTGCGGTAACGATCGCTTGCCTCCCTCCCTAGTCTAGCCCGCTTTATTTTTTGTCGGGACGCCGCCGCCGTCGTTTCATTCTTCTTTTAGCGTTCTTTTTCGCGTGAACGTTTGCGTCGGTTGATCGCGTTTTAAGCCACGAGCCATGAGTACGTTACACACTATACTAACAGACACGGGCGTGCGTGCGTGCGTGCGTGACACGTCGTCAGTAGAGGTCGCGATTGAAGGTCGCGCCTCCGCTCGTCGCGCCAAGAGCCGTCCATTCCCGCCATCGGAACGGTCGCGTGTTGCATACAACGGTCGCGTGTTGCATACAGCGGTCGCGTGTTGCATACAGTGGTCGCGTGTTGCATACAACGGTCGCGTAGCACCCACACAACGGTCGCGTGTTGCATACAACGGTCGCGTAGCACCCACACAATGGTCGCGTGTTGCATACAACGGTTGCGTAGCACCCACACAATGGTCGCGTGTTGCATACAACGGGCGCGTGTTGCGTACAACGGTCGTGTAGCACCCACACAACGGTCGCGTGTTGCATACAAACGGTCACATGTTGCGTACAACGGTCGTGCAGCTCGTACACCCAGCAGGCGAGCGTGTGCGTAGTGATAGGATATCATCGTCGGCCGTTACCGGCCTGCAACCCATATCAGATTAGATGCAGTGGCTAAAGTAAGAATTATAGTTCTGTCGCGTGTCGCTCGCGCGGTGGATGGACGCTGCGCGGGTGTACCATGGTATACAACCCCCCATAACAAACGTCCCCCTCTACATTGGGCATGGGTACGTCTAGGATGCATTGCGAATGTGCAAGTGGATTCGACCTTCACTGCCCATGCGCAATGTAGTAGAGGGACAGTTGCCGTATGCCCATGCGCAATGTACAGGGGGAGCGTCTGCTGTAAGGTAGTATGTATGCCATGCTACACAAGCCATCTTTAGTATGTAGATGTGATGGTAGGGTAGGCTTATGGGGTTGTAGGCGTGTGTAGGCTTCAAGTAGAACTGTGGTAGAAATCTAGTGTGATTAGTCTTCAGATGTGTTGCACGGAAATATTGGTCAGTGGTGAAGTGGTCATGTAACGTAAATTGTGATTGGACGCATAAATTGCAGACAGTTGTCGATGGAGGCAGTGATTGTCGGATCTACGGTCATATGATATGTAATCGAAACTGTGATTGGCTGTTCTACGATCACATGTATAGCAGGGCAAGTGTCGTCAGGTTCCATTTGTAACAGCGGCAATAATTGGTTGTTCGGTTGTCACATATATAATCGAGCCAACGATTGGCTAATCTCCGGTCATGCTGCTGTGTTTCTCAGTATAATGATATTTGCAGGGAATATTTTCCAGTGGCGGTGTAATAAGTATTCTGCGTTTCGACCAGTCGTCCCCAATTTATCAGGAGACAGGTCGAGAACCTCCATAAATGCCACGATTGATGAAGTGGTTGGGGAAAGGGACTGGGCTCGATTCCCCGTGTCCCGGGTAAAAAAAAAGTCCCAGTTCCCGGTTAATTGACATCGTCCGGATGGTTGTTATTTCTGAATCACGAAGAATTTGGTATTTCCCGGTTTCCAGATAATTAAAATGGTCCTATCCTGCCTCCCGAAAATGATCGTTCTGTCGACCTGTCAAATATTTGGGAGATATCAGAGTTACAGGGTCAATATGGAGCGCCATCTATCTGAAGAGTCCCTGACACATGTAATCAATAGGAAATTTAACCTGTTCTTGTGCGTGGAGTGTGCGATTGATACGTGATATATAACGGGAGCGGGATCACATCTCATATCCAACTCTAACCGTGTAGCCCTTCTGGAGCTTCAGTGTAAACAGGGGTCGCCTGTAGATGGAGCGAAGGGCCGCACGGGTAGAGCTATCTCATATCGTGCCTGGCAGATCTAGCGGGGGACGCTGCCCGGCCGAGGGCTGGCGTGGCATGTCGAATGGACAACCATTGACTGCACAAGGCACCTGATAGTTGAACACCCTGTGCAGAGGCCTTACGTAAGTTTGAACATTTTTTTCGTAGGAGCCCATGTGGCCAGTAATAACCAAGTAGCGGGCGTCCTATGGTATAAATAATTAGCATCACTGAGCTGTAGATATAATAACAGCTGTTATTGTATGTGCAGCTCAGTGTCCAGTAGCGCCAGTGTGCACGATGAGCCTATGTATGGGTGCAACCATTGGCGGGTACATGCAGGTCACTTGTGTTGTCATCAGTAGTCGGTAAGAGATGTCACCAGTCATATTCGCGTATAGAAAGGACAGATATATGTGGATATTTCGTTATATTCTTTCGGCGATAGTTGTAGGTAGTTGGCAGGAGCGCCCCCCCTCCCCCGCTTGCTCCCGAGGTTTGTGAAATCTGCTGAACTTCGCATTTTTGTCCCCGTTTATTATTTTTAGAGCCAAAGTGTTGAGAGCGTTTTATTTTATGGCGAATTGGTTTGTATCGTGTGGTGTGTTATTGATTGAAATAATATCACGTTTTAATGTAAAAATTGTATATAAACAAAATTATCAAAAATACATATTTAACCCGCTAAAACTGATCGCAGTGTTCGTGTTTTTGTGTGTAGTGGCTGTGGATACATTGAAACATTTGCTTACACTTGCTCAGTATACTTGTGATGCATGCTGAAGATGCTGTCATTCCATATTGATCTCTGCTAAGCAGCTAAGAAACAAAACTATGCTTAAACTTATAAGAGTAACTCAGTAGTAGCAATAAATAATAATAATAATAGAAGTTATGAGTAAAACCTAAGGCGATATAATGAAACTGTTAACAGGACCTCGGTTTCGGCGTAAAAAAACAAGAACGTAGTTTGTGCAATACATTGAGCTACAGCACGCCTCACAGAAACTCGCTCACGCAAATATTGTATAACCAATACAAATTACAATACTTATAGTTGCATCACCAATCATAAAGATTAGGAATAGATAAAGTAAACATAGTTTTCTAATAGGGTATTTCCATAACATCGTCTAGATTTTGAAAACGGTATAATTTTCTAATACACATTAATTGCCATTGTCATTGGTAGATATCAGTCCAGAGTTTCACGCCTGTGAATTTTCTTGACTTATTTCCTAATGTAGTGCTAAACCTGGGTTGGTAATATGATGTTGAAGATGCAAGTCTAGTACTAGGGCTAGTAGTACTAGTACTAGCAGGAGTAAGATAATATAGGATCCTATATTATCTTACTCCTGGTACTAGTAGTACTAGTAGTAGTATTATGAGAGTGAACATTAGAGACAGTTTCTCTGTTTGTTTTTAGTAAACATCTACATAAACCTGGCTTAATTAGTGCTAGCGAGTAGTCCAAGTTGATATATTTCTTCTTTAGCTGAACCTAAGTGTATTGATAGAATGGGAATGTTTTCCACAGATAAAAGTTTATTAATCAATTTACTTATTATAAAATTTTACAGCAATTAAGTTCTCCTCGAGCAGTTAAAAAAACAGCAGTGAATGTAGGACTGGCACAAGTTACATCTACAACTAACATCAACGTACAGATTATTCACGAGATCACAGCTATAGGTTATATTTTAAGGAGATGTTTTGACATCTCAGTAATTAAGGTGTCTGCATATATAATTATAATACTCAGAAACATCCAACAAGTTAAATTAAAACTTCTTAGCGATGAACGCACTTGTTGAAATAATAACACTTTTGTATCTGACAACTGCAAAAACAATACAACTTATATGCACTGATATTTATGTGCACAGATTTAAGGCATACATATTTTATATGCACATGCACACAGATTTTAAGGCAATAATTGCTCTGGTTAGTACAAAAACCAAGACGAGATATACCCTTACAGCTAATATAAGGACATTAATAACCTATACACAAAATGATCGATGTATGCATTTACTTAACAATTTACACATTATAGCATTTTACCTCTCCGCAGCTTACGACGCAGTCAACCATCAAATCCTTACCAAATAAAAAAATATACCAGCAAGTAAAGGATGTGAGACTGACAAATCTGATCAAGAACCTGTTGGCAAACAGGCGGTTTCTCGTGGATCTCAATGGCAACTGCAGCAGATGGCATAGACAGAAGAATGGCCCTCCACAATGAAGCATCCTGACTCCTCTGCTAGTCTAACAACTTACTACACTGCAAACCATCTACGTGCCAATCCCGGGAAAACACAAGTAAGTGTCTTTCATCTAAAGAACATGGATGTCAATCCCCAACTGAAAGTCTTCACTGTGAGGTTTTCACTGTGAGGTGGTGGCAGCTCCACTTGCATCATAAGGATGGATTCTGTAAAGTGAAAAAAGAGTTTAGTACAAGCACCTCTGCATGTATCACTGTCACTGTAAAGTTTCGTTTCACTTCATTTCACTTGATCTGTTACTTTATATATATGGCTTTCAAAACTCATTATAATTATTCTGATATGCTAGTCTAAGAACCATGTTAATTATGCAATTGAAGACTATACAATATGGCAATGTGGAATCGTTATATCTTTTTTCAATGTTCTCAAACAATCACTGACAAAAGCTTACATATCTGCAGCATCTGAGACGGTAGCATCATGAGGATGGATTCTGTAAAGTGAAAAAAAGAGTCCATTTGTGTATCACTGCCTCTGTAATCTCTCATTTCACATCATTTGAGTTGGGCATGTCCATATATATATTATAACCACTGTAAGTATTCATATTACCAAATAAAGTGATAAAAACACATTTTCATTTATGCTGCTTACACAAACTTGATTGTCTCGGATTCAACCAAGATTCTCTCCAAGCATCTATGGCCGTAGTTGCTTGGTCTCTTAAGGAGCACCCCAGGTGGTAGTCCTTCGCAACCGATGACTCCAGCATCGACCAGCTTGTATGGCAGCCTTGCCATAGGCTTTCCGCTGGCATGAGCTATAACATATACGCACAACTGTATAGAAAACTATTACTCCAAAAGTTTATTATTTTTTAAACACACTAGCTTTTAATAGACTTTGTAAATAAACTGCAGTTTCCACTTACTCTGAAAACTCTGTTATGTACCGTAATTGTAACCTCTGTTATGTACAACTCTGACTGCATAAATTCTCTTTCACTTAAAATATTTGTTTGTACATATACAACAAATACTAGAGCCCAACTTTAAAGTTACATATTGTAGTGTTTAACCCTTAGGTCAGCTGAAATGTAAACTAACCGTTCCACAAACATAAACAAAAAGTAGAACAGAAACGTATTACATATATACACTGTGAGCAGATTGCCGGGGTCTTATGAATAAAGCATCATTGTGGTTGGAACCAATTTCATTGTCTGAGTATTAATGTGGTTTAATCCGGTAGTAAAGACTACACATATACTTACAGTATTTGTCGTTAAACAACGTCTGCACATGTTTGCGTAGCAGAGCAGTGGTTCTTGTAGTTTTTTGTGTGCATTCAGCTGTTTGATGTTCCGATTCTACAAAAATAAGATATATAATGCATAGTAATAACAGGCACTGGATGGTAATATACTTGACACAATCAAATTCACAACAAATTAATAAAATAATGTTTTCCACCCAGCAAACATGTATCTTCTTTTAACCTTTAGATTTAAAGGGATACATTTCTCTAGGTTCTTCAGATATTTTCATCTAAGATAGGATAAAATTACGCTTCGTAAAAAGTTTTATGGTTCAATATTTATTAGAAATATTTTAAAAAAATGTTTAAAAACTAACGGCTATATCGTTGCTTACAACGACGGTGGCGCCACTGGCACCCACTGCATAAGTTGCGCAAAGCAACGCTTCGGCTGCACGCTACAGACCGAGGGTGTTTCTTATTTATTAATTTAAGAGCAGATAAATTGCAATATCTTATAAACGACATATAGTTTCAGTTATAATATGGATAAATATGTCCTAAAATTAACATCGTTCGGTTAAGTAGCATATTCAGGTATAAATATAATTGCACTTTTGTGATTAGCCCTTGGTCTGTAATGTGCAAAATGAATTGTCAAATGCGCAACTTTTTCAGGGTGGCAGCACGATCTGGGGTGTCATGTCAGTGCCCAAAAATAACGATTTCGAAATTTAATGTTGTTTTATTATGACAAACGTGAATGCGTAATTATATATAGTTATATAGGTATGTGCTATTAATTATAAATCTACTATGATAATATACTCTCAAATTCTAGAGGAAAGTATCCCTTTAAGTTCGTCTGCTAATCTTTAATTAACAATCCGTTACTATAGTTTATACAGTCAACTCATTGTTAACAATGCTTGAGCTAATGATTCCTATGTTTACCTAGATGCAAACATATCTCCTGAACGAAGAGTGGATGGTCTTTTAAATAAGACAGGCCCTTCCTGGACGAACACAGAAAGGGTGCTTCCCGTTTCTCGAGCTGTGTGCCGATCACAATCGTCTCAGCACCCAGGCATTCTAACTCCTTCATCTGTGAATATGGGAAACAGATTTACGTACACTTTCAGAAACATAACTAGAAAGGGTAGTTGTCGCCAACTACATGTATCCCCCGTGATCTAGTAATGAAATATCTCTGTAAGGACGTAGAATGTAGGTATAAAGTTAAATAAGTCGCAAAGTCAAAGGTTTGTTATACAACTCATGTGCCTGAGATGTGCAAGTATGTTAAAATTGGTTGCCTTAGGGGATTTGGTACGCGACACACCTTCTCCCCAAGATGTGTATAAGTATACAAAGCTTGGTCGCGCTAGGTCAATTAGGGGCCGAGTTATAGAGAGGAAGGGAAATATGATCAAGATCAAGGTAAAGGTCAAATAAACGTCGCAGTGACCTGGTTTTGGTATGCTGCGCACCTTCTCCCCAAGATGTGCAAGTATACCATGTTTGGTAGCGCTAGGTCAATTAGGGGTCGAGTTATAGAGCGGAAGGGAAATTCTCTGCGGCGGACCGAGCGGCTGGACAGACATGAAACCATAGTATCCCCACCGACTTCGTGGCGGGGATACAATAATGTACAGATATGAGTAACTATATATACCAGTACCATGATGGGTAATGACCGTAATGTTCACTTACTTCAATGCCAGACAATTCCAAAATTTTACCTAGGCCTACATGTAACTATAATATTCCTAATTACACTAACACCCAAATGGGGAATAATATAAAAAACAGTTTTGACAAGAGCTACAGTTAGCTTTTAAATGATGGCGCAATATTACAAATTACTACTTTATATATAACCATTGAAGCAGTGCGTTCTTGTACCCTAGCTCCTCTAAATGATGTGAATATATATAACACACAGATATATATTTATTTAGTATACTTAAAGATACCTTCCCATGCACATTTTTGTGACAAACCACTGTAAAAACGCAAGTAAATAACTCACTACACTTTAACTGAACGTTAGCTTTGAAAATAAAACTGTAAAAATATGTATCAAGCCTATATTCGCTCAACGAAAAAACAACTCAAAAAACGTGTTTTGCCGCCATTATGTATCATGGCGGCAAGAGTCGACACCATATATCTATATGATATCTATGAGCATATGCACCCTTCATGACCTTCAGCGCTTGGCAACACCGCATGGCAACAATTTAGAGACGTACGCGTCACAACATCGCCGCAGAGCGGCAAAAGTGAACTGTTTGAAACATTCGACCTGACACTTTCACTTTGTAGTCTATAAGCTTCGAATGAACGTATTCCTGGGTATTTTTTTTACCCATCACACATATATAGGCAGGCACGTACAAACGTGCAATGTTAAAATAGTTAATTTTTGCCTGATTCTATGTTTGCCGCTTGAAGTTTCGAGGGGAGGCACCTTTATGGTTACTGTCCAGGTTTTCTACAAAATTTCATCGATTTTTCATTTGTATTCTTATACGAGCGCTAACACTAGGGGCCACCTCTGTATACACACTCATTTCGCTATTATACGGATCGATGCACGTGAAATTTCAGAGCATTCTCATTGTCCACGCACCTGTGCAATGGCCAGCAGTTATATTTAAATACACATATATTGGTGACGTCTGAGACACAATCCAGCGTAGCCAGTTATACCAACCCCAACTATTCGTTATTTTGCTGCGCGGTCGAACATTAATAGCATTTCTCGTTATACGCCAACTTTGTTGACATGCAGATTAGTGACCGCAGTCATGTGTGTCTTGCAGTGGCCGGTGTTCGCACGTTTCGTATCAAATTGCGTGTGGTAACCTTATTTCTTACAATTTTTTAATTGCATAGAACATTTTACCAATTTAGAGGTTTTAGTTAGTCAATGATATGTCACCAGAGTATAAGTACTAACACGAGATGTTTCACATACGTTCACCCATTTCGCACACAGGCGGTCGATCATTGTGAAAAATAGAAAAACACTGATATAAAATATGTTATATAACACACACAAAATATAAAATGTGTTTGAATGTCTACTCAATGTATGTTCATGTTTACTTACAGTTTTGTACATGTGTCCATGTAACTGCTTAACTTTAGCAGCCTTTTCCTCATCAGACAGACTTGTTAAGTCTGTCTGCCGTGACATTGCTGCTTCATTAAATTGTGTTCTCTCATTCTGTGACAAGTTTTTCGATTTCTTCCCCCATTCCTGTAATGACTGCTTTCCATCTGAAACAAAAAATATACAGTCACATTTCAAAATAGAATTGCAGTTGGAAGCCAGCTATAGCTACCTATTAGTGGCATTCAATTCATGCCATAACTGTTGTGTAACCTTTTTCAATAACACATTTCATTGTATGGTAGGATAAAAAAAATATCCTAACAATATATGACTTTAACGATGCTTTCAAAGTTCTTCGAAATCGGCTGGACACTTCAGCACAGCATATTGCTACATGAAAAATACTCATCGAATTTGTTGTCCCAAACGTTTCGGTTTGAAGCCAAAAAACTAAATAAACATGATCCAGAGCATTTTTTTTTATATCT